GGAACCTGTGCAGAAACTGGGCGGGGCTTTCATCATCCTTTAGGCATTCTTGTCTCAGCTTAGTTGGATCACTGCAGGTGGGGTATTTGTTCCTTAAGGCTGCCCACACCTTGGGTCTTATTTGGTTGAATGGTATCTTGTCATACTGGTGTGAGGTCATGACCCTTGGAAGCTGGGCTTCGTCAAACACCTCTCTGGCTGCTGAGTGTCCTGTTGTTTTAATTAGCAGCGCCTTGATGTCTGCAGCTGCCAGATTGATGCCTCCAGTGATTTCTTCCAGCTTTTCTATCCATCTGTCAGCACCATCTGCCAATGGGGTCAGCCTTCCAGCCAGGGTTATTATGTCCATAAATGACCATGGCACGTATCTGTCATCATGAGGTCCTTTAGACAGCAAGGGAGCCATATAGGTCCCTCCTTGATCTTGTTCCGTCTTCTGCTGTCGCATTTTGGACCTGGTCACCATTTGGCTAGGGCCGCTTTTTAATATCTGTAGCCCCACGTCACACTCAGCTGTGAGTGGCTTCCTTTCTTTTGCTGCTGGCCTGCTTTCCTCCTTGAACCCCTCATGGAATGGGTTTATAGTTGGCAGTATGTCTGAGCCTTCACTGTCCTCCCATTCGGACACATCACCTCCCTCTTCCTCATATTCCATGTCTTTTCCCCCTCTCCTTCCTGCCTCTTCGATCAGAGACAAAGTCCGTGGGCTTGGCAGGTCTGGGTAATCAGTTTTGGCCTCTATTATAAGCTGCTCCACTTCCATTCTCTTCAATTTTTCCAATTCTTCATCTCGTCTTTTCTTCTCTTTTTTTTTTTCTATTGTCTCTTTTAAATTTTTTAATCGTCTATTTTGTGCTTTCTCTTCCAACTCTTGCTCCTTGAGTCGTACAAATGTTTCCGTTAGTTGCACCAAGTCCTGGTTTATCTCTTTTGCCAGTGATTCAGTTTCTTCCAAAAATAACTCTATCTTGGGATCTGTGTGGCCTTTGTATGTTGACTTGGTCCTAGGCTCTGAGCGGCAGGTGGGGCCTCTTGGGTATGGTAAATGTCTGCGACGTACTGGGGGTAGGGAATGGCTAAGGGTAGATTTTCTCCTTACTTCTGGGGTTTTATCCCATCCGTTATAGTCACCGCTGTAATCATACTCTCCCTGCTGTGTGCTACTCATTTCTTTTTCTGTTTCTTCCTCTTCTTCTAAAACTAATTTAAGTTGCCCTGTAATCTTTCCCCTGCTGCCTGACTTTATCACAACTGGGTACTGACCTGCTGCGCTAGGGTGATAAGGTGGTGGTTTATGATCAGTGTAATTGGGGGCTGTTGGGCTCTTTTGGTGTTCTACTTTGAAATATTGCAGGATGTCTCTCTCTTCAGCATGCCTCTGTTTTTTATGCAAAAGCATCCGGTCCCGTTTTTTATCTTTATTTCTCAATCTTTCTTCAACTTCATCACAGCATGAAGGATCAAAGCTGCCTTCTTTAGGCCAACGATTTTTCCCAGATGTCATCTTATGCCATTTGGTCATGCATTTTTGAATTTTACGTTTATTGGATGGGTGTGTCAATATTACCAATTTGGCTGGCGTCAGCCCGTCAGACTGTTGTTTGCTCATATTGATTCCCATGGCTACTAGCAGTCACTCAACCGTCAGGTCCATGCTTATTCACCAGTCTTTGTAATCCTCAGTTTATTTTTATCTTAACTGGTTCTGCTCTCTTCAATACAGATCGTGTTTATTTTCTTTTAGTTTCTTTCTAGTTAATTTACTTCCTAAATTTAGATCTTTTCAATTTTGAGATAAAATCTTTAATAAAACAAATTTGTAATGTTATTTTGCACTTTCACTAATTCTATACTTTATATATTTTACTTTATGTAGACTATAGTTTGTAATAATATATACTTATAATATCTTTATCTTATAAAGCTTACAATTTCTTCCAATCTTATTTAGGAATTTTGTTAATTTATTTCATTCTCATAACTCTTGTGTTTTTTCAGTTATCAATTTTGTTTTCCAATCCTTATTAATTTTCAGGTTATTCCTTTTAACTATATTCTGTACTAATTACTTCTATTAATTTATTGTTATATCTTTAAGCTTTACCTATATTATAATCTTTATTTATTAATATCACCCACCCCTTACTTCCCCTCAGTTACTCAACTCTTTCACTCTACACACTAACACAGACACACAAGACAAATGATTATATATATATATTTACAGTGCACTTCTTCTTTCTACGTTTTTCCCTGCTGCCCCGGCTGCACCCAGATAACTGGAAATGCATAGACATCCTCCGGATGGTCGAGCGGTACTATTCTCCGATTATCGCATAACCGGTAATATTCTGGCTATCCCTTAGCCTGGCTATCGCTTAGCCTCTCAATACCTTTTCCTCACTGTTTCCTACAGTGGCACAATACCTTTTCCTCACTGTTTCCTACAGTGGCACAATACCTTTTCCTCACTGTTTCCTACAGTGGCACAATACCTTTTCCTCACTGTTTCCTACAGTGGCACATATTCCAATACCTTAATACTACTTAAGCCGTCTCGTGGCGCACCCTGACTTCCTTAGTCACTGATACCCTCATGTAACACGCGTACACTATTGGTTCCGGATTTATGGCTTCCACAGACTATATATCAATCTGTCCCTTTACCAATCATCCGCTCAGAACAACCCGTGTTAAGCTTAACTTATTTACAAAATAATTCAAACACAGAACAGTTTAACACAAACATTAATAACACTTAAAACATACATTCATATATACATTTATACATACCTGGACCCTTCCTCAGCTTAACCTGCCTTTATATACTCTTATATAAATTCTTATCAAATTTGGAAATTACTTTATTAAATTTGGAAAACTAGGTTCTTTTAGGAGAGCTTTGTGACGTCTGACCCCCAAAAGCAGTAGTCGGAGGCTGGTTCCTCACTAATTTAGAAAATTATAACGAATTGACTCACCTTTAAATGGTGAATTATGGGCCCTTGGGGTTCCACGCTCTCCAGCTGGTGCCTGCAGATCGTCCGACGTCCCCTTTTTGCTTTCCTCCTGGCTGGCTCGCCAATTATGTCGTCTATAATTCTCTTCTTGACGACTTAAATTGAAGCTAAGTTTTATAAAAATTCAAAGTTCTTAAAAAGCAGAAAAAGACTCAAACGAAGATTAAAAAATTCAGGCAGGGGCAGCTGAGTCCGGGTCCAGTGTGTTTATTGCTAAATACAACACATTTACACTGAGCTGGTCACCGATGAGCCGAAGCTGGACAAATGGTGAAGCCAGCTCCCTTTTATACATTTCTTATCGGTGGAAAATCCCCTTCAGAACATATTTCAGTCATTGGTAAAGGTCACATTGATATTTATCTGCAAAACATGGTGACATTCATAGACACATCTCATTCTTGTGAGAGCAATCTCTCAGGCCATGAAAACATCTGGTGCATTCAGATCAGAAACTTATGATGGTTTAGTCAAAAACATGTCAGCCCTTGCTTCAAGCCCTGTCAGTCTAGCCTACTGCTCCCCCCTCGTCTCTCAGTCAAAACATCACCCTTTCTGGGACCATTACTGCTCCATGTGCCTTGAAAATAACAACTCTTTTTGTATGGCCAAATTTTGCTGAGCTGGGCAACCTTGAGATGTCAAATATTTCATTTTTATTGCGGGTGCTTTCTTATCACTAAGGGGCCTCAACCCTGCATTGTCCTGCATACCTCACTCCCATTGGCGCCAGCTGCAACAGATACACACACTCACTACTCTGCTTTTCTCCTCTCTGGCCTCGAATTGCTCTTATAACAGTTTTTGGGAAAACAACTTTAAACTTATAAAACATTAACTTTATTTTATCTTATGATTAGAGCAGATTAATACACAACAGAAACACCCACAAAGGTAACAAACAATTCAAAAAACAAAATAATCACATACACACACTCTAGAACCTGAACATTATAGAAAATCTTATTGCTTCTTAACATTTACTCACTTCCTCCCCCCTCTGGTTCACAAAACTCAGGCAAACGAGAAAGGTAGTCAGCAATCAGATTTTTCTTACCTGGACAATGCTGTATGGTGAACTGGTATGGCTGAAGGGCAAGGCACCAATGAAATATCCGTGCATTCTGATGCTGCTTGGAGTGCATCCATTTCAGAGGTCTATGGTTGGTTTGCAAAGTAAACTCACTTCCTAGGAGATAATATTTTAAAGAGTCCAGAGCCCACTTTATTGCAAGTCCTTCCTTTTCTACTGTGGAGTACTTTTTCTCCCGGTCAAACAGCTTTTTACTTAAGAAAAGGACAGGTTTTTCTTCACCAGCTTCTCCCTGAGCGAGCACTGCTCCAAGGTAACCCAGATATTTAACTTCTTCTTGCGCCCATGCACACTTGTTCACATTCAAAGTGAGACCAGCCTTCTGGATCTTTGCCAACACAACCTTAAGGTGTTGTAGGTGATCCTCCCACGTCTCACTGTATACCACAACATCATCCAGGTAGGCAGCAGCGAACTTTGAACAGTCATTAAGAATAATGTCCATTAACCTTTGAAAGGTAGCTGGTGCCCCATGAAGACCAAAGGGTAAAACAGTATAATGGAATAAACCCATTCCTGGAATCTGAAAGGCTGTGTATTCTTTACAGGATGGATCTAAAGGGACTTGCCAGTAACCTTTACATAAGTCTAAGGTTGTGATGTATTTGGCCTTCCCCAATCTTTCCAGTAGCTCATCAATGCGTGGCATGGGGTAAGAATCAAAACAAGAAATGCTGTTCAACTTTCTTAAGTCAGAACAAAAGCGTAGTTGAGATGAGTCCTTCTTGGTAACAAGCACAATGGGATTGGACCACTCACTTCTTGATGGCTCTATGACTCCCATTTCCAGCATTGTCTGGACCTCCTGTTTCAGTGGTTCCATCATCTGTTGGGGAATCCTGTAAGGCTTAAGACGGACAGGTGTTGTGTCTTTCAAGGTTATTTTGTGTGTTATGACATCAGTTCGCCCAGGTACATCTGCAAACAGTAATGGAAAAGATTGTTTAATCTCACCCAGCTGTTGCCACTGGTCTGGAGTCAGATGCTTTGGAGCCTCTTCAGATTTGGCCAGCTTTCTGCATGGACTCATTTCAGCTTCTCCATCCATCAACATGGCACTGTCTTCAGGCTGAATGTCTTGTACCATCAGGGTTTGCTTCACATCCATTTCTGGAACATTTCTTTCATGATACTCCTTTAGCAGATTTACATGGAGCAATTGCTTTGACTTTTGTTTTTCTGGACAAGCAATTTCATAAGTTACCGGACCTGCTCTTTTAATCACAGTGTAGGGTCCTTGCCATTTAGCTAGTAGCTTACTTGGTCCACTGGGCAAAAGTACTAAAACTTTCTGGCCAGTTTTCAGCTCTCTTTCACGGGCATATCTGTCATACCATACCTTCTGCTTGTGTTGTGCTTTCTGCATATGGTCTTTAACTTGTTCTCTGTATTTTTCCAGTTTGTCTCTCATTTGCAGTATGTAGGAGATGACGTTTGTTGTTGGTGAAGACCCTTTACTGGATCCAGATGCCCCTCCAGCCATCCAGTTCTCCTTCAGCATGTCCAAAGGGCCTCTAACATGTCTCCCATAAAGTAACTCAAAAGGAGAAAAACCAGTTGAGGCTTGTGGTACTTCTCTGTATGCAAACAAAAGAAAAGGCAACCATTTATCCCAGTCTTTCCCAGTTTCATCAATAAACTTTCTCAACATTTGTTTTAATGTACCACTAAATCGTTCTACCAAACCATCCGTTTCTGGATGGTATGGAGTAGTACGAATGACATGAAATTGGTACCTTGATCAGTTAGAATCTCCTTTGGGATACCAACTCTGGAGAAAAGGTCTACCAAACACCGGACAATGTGTTTGACCTGGAGAGAACGTAATGGAAAAACATCTGGATATCTGGTTGCATAGTCACAGATAACTAATGCATATTTTTGACCATTACTGCTCTTAGGTAAAGGACCTATAATATCCATGGCGATTCTCTCATAAGGAACAGTCATTATTGGTAAAGTCTGCAACTGGGCACGGTCTGAAACTTTAGTGGGGGCTACTAACTGACAATCATGACATGATTTGCAGTACTCAATCACATCTTTATATAATCCTGGCCAATAAAAATGCTGAGCAACACGATTATATGTCTTTGCCTGTCCTAGGTGCCCTGACCATGGTACAGTGTGACCCAAATGCAAAATTACTGAACGGTATTCTTTTGGTACAACAAGTCTGGGTTCATCAATGTCTGCTAGATACAAAAGTTCATCCTTTATAATAAAAGGCTCTCCTGCTAAACTTTTGAACTCCACAGTAGTCTCTTTTTCACCATCTTTGTTTGCTTTATCAAAGAGAGGTTTCAGAGATGGATCATTTTCTTGTCTTTCTTTAAAGTTATTAGGAATTTGCCACTGGAGATCAACACATGGAATTAAAGGTAATGTAGGTTCAGGAAGTTTTGACTTGCTTTTGTTTTTGTTTTTCTCCTGTCTACGTTGTCGTTTTGATTTCCTGATTTTACTTCCTCCTTCATACAAATCATCATCTGCATCTGGCAGAGGTTCTAAGCCCTTTTTCATAGATCGTGTCATGACAGCACAGGAATATGCCACAGAATTTTCTTGAACCAAACTGTCTAGGATTGGTAAATCTTCCCCTAGGATAACATCATATGCTAACTGATTCACAACTCAAACAGTCAACATAAAAGCTTGGCTTTCAACTTCAATAGTGACATCTGCAGTTGGATACTCTTTCTGACATCCATGAACACAAGTAATGTTTACCAGCTTGTTAAAGTTAGGCATTACATTGTTCAACAAAGAAGATTTCACCAAAGTTTGTGAACTACCCGTATCTGCAAGAGCTTTTACAGCTTTGCCATTCATCATCACATCTATCACATGTTTATGTGGAATCAAACCATCAGAAAGTTCATAATTATGTTCTTTGGAGGGTACCACACATAACTCTACTGACTTAGGTTTTCTTAAAGGACATAAAGAAGCTTTGTGACCAGGCTGCTGACAATAGTAACAAGTGAGGTTATACTTTAGTCTGGATTGTTCCGATTTCTTACCACCCCTCATGTCCAAGTTGTCAGTCTTTATTGCATCTGGAGGTTTTACCTCCACAAACCTTGGTCTCCCCACAGTTACTCTTGACTTTGAAGGTTCTCTGTGAGCAGCCAAGTAACGTTCAGCCAGATCTGCAGCTTCCTCTCCGGTCTTTGGATTGTTCTCCTTCACCCATGTGCGGACGTCTGGATGAAGCACACGTAGATACTGCTCCAAGATGATGGTTTCCCCGATCTCTTCTTTACTCCGACTGTCAGGCCGCATCCATCGCTTGTAGAGTCCCTTTATCCGACTGTAGGTTTCACGTACACTCTCTCCCACAGGTACATTGGTGCTTCGAAACCGGTATCTGTAAGTCTCTTCTGTCACATTAAACTTAGATAGCACAGCAGCTTTAATAGATTCATAAGAGTCAGACTGGTCTTCATCCATACCAGCATAGGCCTCCAGTGCTTTTCCAGTCAATAATGTGACCACTCTAGCAGCCCATTCAGTTGGTTGCCATCCCCATGTTTTAGCTATGCGTTCAAAACGTATGAAGAAACTTTCAGGATCCTCACCTTCCTTGAAGTCAGGTATCCTAGGATCACCTCCACGGGTTGGTTCCACTCTTTGTCCTGGAACATCATGCGCACCACGCAGCTGAGGCTGTGCAGGAAGTGGTTGAGATGGATAACGAGGTTCAGCTTGGTAACCAGAGGCTCCTTGGTCTTCGCTTTGGGAAAACTGCTTCTGTAGAAACTTCAGTCTGTACAATCGTCTCATCAAGTTCAGTATATACATCACTTTGCAGCTTTGGCATGTTACTGCGCAACTGTTTAATCTGTTCAAACAAAATAGCTTCGGTTCGTTTAGAATGTCGCATAAATTCTCTTATTTCATCAAAGATGTCAGTTTCACAAAGTTCTTTACTCACAGTACCAACTGTGGTCTGTTTAGGCCGCACCACTGGTTCAAAGACATCTTCACCAGACATGACTCCTTCAGGTGGTGGATCTGGTTCTGCTGTTCCTCCACTATCTCTTTCTTCCATTTCAGAAAGAGGGCTTTTCCTTGTTCCTCGAGTTCTTCCATGTCCTACTCCTCTCATTTAGCCTGATTTCCTCCTTCAAGCAAAAGCGTAAAGATCCCACTTCTGACACCACTGTTGCGCTGAGAGGTGTGGTGTGGAAGGAAAAATCCAGCAAAGTTGGTTGGAGCAAAAAACAAAAGGTCATTTATTAAGGTTCTTCCATCAGAGTATGGTTATACTGAACACAAAATGGCAGCTTTCCCATCAGACTCTTACTACAGCAATCAGTCCACCTATATACTGTTATCCCCGCCTTCTCAATTTACCCACAGCCAATCAAAGTTCAGCCATCATGGCTCCCTCTATAAGAGAGCTGGGTTTGAGGCAGGCCTCCTCCTTAGCAAGGTTCCAAGATGGCTTCTAAAAAGGAAACACCCACAAAGGTAACAAACAATTCAAAAAACAAAATAATCACATACACACACGCTAGAACCTGAACATTATAGAAAATCTTATTGCTTCTTAACACCAATTGACAAAGAACAATCAAATAACATCCAAATCTGAATTAATTAAAGCTATTGTGGAGGTTTTTTGCAAATGTTTGAAAAGGCCCGCCCTCTCCACTTAAAAAAAAAATGCGCTTGCACAACCCTGTACCCACTCGCGTGCGAGAGCATGCACGAGCGTATTTCTCCTAGAGCATGCTCTGTTTAAGAGTTGCTGTTCTCACAGTTCATATAAGCTTACTGTGTCTGAACGTCCGCCATAAATCCCTCAATCACTATATAGACGGGGGGCTATATAGTGGACTTTAAAGTGAAATGAGTTAACCATTCGGACATAAGATCACTGCTTTTTGCTCCCCGGTGGTCCCGTAAATCCTCCTCCACTGTTCAGTGCCTGCGCCATCTTTATTATTAGTCGCGACTGTCGGGTAACGACAGCCAATGTCTCTGACAGCAAATCTCATAATGCTTTGTGAGGAGAGCTCTCTGCGCAAAGCATTTGGCCTCGGCCATTTTCAAAAAAACGTGAGCCTCAATGACTGTCTGAAACCGTAGCTCACCACCGATATATGCCTGAAAGTATGTATGTACAGAAAAAGATAGCTAACGGGAGGAGCATGTAGGACGGCCTTATGTAAACATACCACCAGAATGATTGACAATTAGGTGGATCACTTATTGAGATTATCCAGCCGGAAATAAAAAATGGTCCTCTATACCTTTAAATATTCCCATTGAATACTTTGTTCTGTGCAAAGTTGAATGCGCTGATGACAAAATCACACAAAAGCCATCAATGGAAATCAAAATTATTAACCAGTGGAGGATTTGGAGTCACACACAAAATTAATTTTGAGAACTACACACTACACTACAGGCTGATCCAGCTTTGATGTAATGTCTTTAAAACATTTCAAAATTAGGCTCAGTATTGTGTGTGGCCTCCACCGGCCTGTATCACCTCCCTACAAAGCCTGGGTATGCTCCTGATGAGGTGGAGAATGGTCTCCTGAGGGATCTCCTCCCAGACCTGGACTTGAGCATCCACCAAGTCACAGAAAGATTGTTGTGCAAATTAATGTTGGTGGATGGATTGAGACATGATGTCCCAGATGTGCTCAGTCAGATTTAGGTCTGGGGAACGGGTGGGCAACTCCATAGCTACAATTTCTTCATCTTGCAAGAAACTCTGACACACTCCAGTCACATGTGGTCTAGGATTGTCCTGCATTAGAAGGAACCCATTCAACCGCAGCAGCATATGCTCTCACAAGGGGTCTGAGGATCTCGGTACCTAATGGCGTTCATGCTACCTCAAGAAAGAAATGCCACCCAACACCATAAATGACCCACTGCCAACTGGTCATGCTGAAGGATGTTGCAGCAGCAGATAGCTCTCTACGGTGTCTCCAGACTCTGTCACATCTGTTACATGTGCTCGGTGTGAACCTGTTTTCCACTTTAAAGAGCACAGGGCAGCAGTGGCAAATTAGCCAATCCTGGTTTCCTCTTGCGAATTCCTAGCGTGTTGCATGGTGTTTGGCTGTGAGCACAACCCCCATCTTTGGACGTCGAGCCCTCATACCATCCCCATGGAGTCAGATCCTAAAATTTGTGCAGACACAAACACATTTGTGGCCTGTCGGAAGTCCATCTGCAGGGTTCCGGCAGTGCTCTTCCTGTTCCTCTTTGCTCAAAAGGCGGAGGTAGTCCTGGGTTGTTGCCTTTCTATGGCCTCCTTCACGTCTGCTGGTATAATGGCCTGTCTCCTGCCAGCACCTCTAGCCTCTGCACACTACGCTGACAAACATAGCAAACCTTTTTGCCACAGCTCGCATTAATATGCCATCCTGGATGTGTTGCACTACCTGAGGCACTTGTGTGGGTTTTGGAGTCCATCTCATGCTACCACGAGTGTGAACGCACCATCAACATTCAAAAGTGAACAAAACGTGAGTGAGCAGGGGTACTGAGAAGTGGTCTGTGGGCCCCATCTGCAGAACGTGTTGGACCATATATATATATATATATATATTCTCGCGTGATTTGAAAAGGTGGGTGATTTCCCGACAGATGGCGTGATTTTTGTCCACCTTGATGTAGTTACCAAAACGACAAACAAGTTGCTGCATTTATTTTGTCAGGAAAAACTAATCCTGAGTCAGTTGAAAGTCAGGGAATTCTGAAATTATGTAAGACTGTGGAAACCCTGTATAAAATAACTATGTATAATGATTCTCTAGAAAAGTTACATTATACTAATAGTATTATCTTGTATAAACATACTGTGACTCTAAAATAAGTTATTCATTTGTGACATTGACTTCTGTCTTGTGATTTATCTTAAGTTTTTAACCTGTCAAGTTTTTTTTTTTAGATTTTAGACATTACAATTTATATTTTTCCAAGCACACAACAGTTTAAAGCAAAGTTTAGTTTGAAAAGAATGTGCAGAAAAGATTGAAAAACATGTTAACACGGTAATGTAGGCTTGGGTTCATTATCTGACGCATGCCTATACAGTATGAAGGACCAACTCTGCCATATTTAAAAATAAATACAGAAATAACAAAAAAGTGAGACATAAATGTATATAACTCTTAATTAGCTTCTTTATTTATTTGCCTTTGTAATATTTACCTTATTTATTTTTCTGTCCTTTATAATCTTCAACTTTATTTTTTAATTACTTATATTTTTAAGTATTTATTTATGTGCATGTTATAATATTTTTGTCTGTTTTATTCTTCCTTTGTATTTTTTTACCTTAGTTATTTCTTCGCCACTGTTTATTTCTCTCTGCCCTTTTTACATTTCTCTATGCCCTTTTTACATTTCTCTCTGCCCTTTTTACATTTCTCTCTGCCCTTTTTACATTTCTCCCTGCCCTTTTTACATTTCTCCATGCCCTTTTTACATTTCTGTATGCATTTCTGTCTCATTATGCAAATGAGGAGGGGGTGTGTCCTAGAGAGTCAACTTCTGCTCATTGGTTGGCTTGGCGGTCCATCTTCTTAACTCACAGAGCTCAGAGTACTAAGTTAAATGTTCTCTTTTCTGTTGCTGTTGTTCAATAAAAGTACGTTTTAAGATCATTTGAGGCGAGAACCTTATACTTTTAAGCATCACCATATGGCCCATTCACAGATTTAATGCGTAATTTAAAAGAAAATGTGACGAACTTGAGAGGACCGCGGCAACCAGCAAAGCTCCGATGCTGACGGCAGCCAGGTCTAACCACAGCCCATCTGCAGCGGCCCTCTCTCGGCATAGCCGTGTGTGAAGCGTGTTGGTTAGCATTTTACTACATCGGTCGAATCTACAGGAGGAGAGTCTGATGTCGAGTCTGAAGTCATTAGAACTTGAGTAGGGACTTTGCCAAACTTTGCCAAATACAACAAAAAATCGCCATCATAGCCTGGCTATAGACCTGGCTGCCGTCAGCTTCGGAGCTCCGCTGGTTGCCACGGTCCTCTCAAGTTCGTCACATTTTCTTTTAAATTCCGCATTAAATCTGTGAATGGGCCATATGGTGATGCTTAAAAGTATAAGGTTCTCGCCTCAAATGATCTCAAAACATACTTTAATTGAACAACAGCAACAGAAAAGAGAACATTTAACTTAGTACTCTGAGCTCTGTGAGTTAAAGGAGAATTCCGGTTTTTTACACTTTAAGCCCATTTTCTGTAGTGTCCAGGATGAAATCGAATGATCGACACCAAAAGTTTGACAATTGCTCCTGTCTCTGCTTTTTGGCTCATTTAGAATCCACCCCTGGCTGCTTCATAATGGCTGCCATAGTGCATGTCCGATAATGTCCTTAAAACAACCTTAAACGTTCTTTTTTTAAATATGCTACTCAACGTGTCGTCAGCGCTGTTCAATGACGTTCCAAAAAAAGTTTCGTGAAGAAAAAACGTTCCTGTAGTGTTTTATTTAGCATTTTGTAAATCCCATTGAGTTCTGTTGGAATAGTCAATATTCCCCTGCCACCGGAAACGGAAATTGGGCCTGTTTACACAGTTGTAGTCTTTTCGCTTCACTCTGTGTACTCCGACGTCGAGGTGCTAACGTCTCTGTTAAACACTTTAAAAAACTCTGAAAATGGAATACGAAAGGTGGATTCTTGATTCTCGACGTCGGAGTACACAGAGTGAAGCGAAAAGACTACA